TTCGATGGTTCATTTTGAAAATTTGAAACACATTGGAGGACAAAATTGTCTTTTACAGATTATGTCAAATATAATGGCATTTTAGATAGGGAAAATTCCCAATACCCTGTACTTTGAGCCTATTGTCACTTTGGTCTCTGAACATTAAAATGTGACAATTCAGTACTCAAACTTTCAAAACATGCCAATCCAATACCTGTCGTTAATCAGTCATTTAAGTGGCATATGAAAAGACACAAATGCCCTTCGGATGTCATCTAATTTTCTTTGTCAACCATCCAAGAACTGAACATGGATATGTTCAACCAGGATCGAAGATGTTTTAGATCATCCAATAAATGTATTAAGGCTGCAACTTGGGCTGGGTTAGCCCGAACCCAATCCTAACCCAACCTAAATGCTTGGATTATGGTTAGGGTTGAAATTTATGAACTCCACTTTATTTCAGGTTGGGTTAGGTTTGACCCCTTGGGCAACCTGACCCAACCCAAACTAGACTCTATAGTACATATCATATATAAATATATGTTAATATATGATCATACATTGATTTGTTTAGATGCATGATAGTTGTATAGCCACTACCACATACTATCATTTATTTCATTTAAGATAATCACTTCATTTAATCCTAATTGGAAATACTAAAACCTTGATAACATGTTTTATGTTTTTTGAATATTTTATTCTTTATCTCCTCTCTATTATTTGCCACCCATAGCTTGCTGCCCATAAAAGACCTATTATAAGTCATCATAATAAACTATAGTCATTTCAAACATTTTTTTTCTGAATTTTGTACTTAAAGAACTAATAAAAACATCAACAAACAAATACTAATAAAACATAAGATTAATATATGTAATGAAAGTTGAGTTAAGATCTAAGATTAAGAAGTTCTACAAGATTTTAAGGGATGGGAGGGTTGGGCCCAACCTGAGCCCATCCCAACCCAAAGTTGACTTCGGGTTGGGTTGGGTTGGGTTGGGTTGGGTTGGGTTAGGGTTGGGTTGGGGGTTTAGAACTTAGGATTGGGCTAGGATTGGCCACAAATGAGTGAACATAACAAAAAGTGAATGAACAAGAGAAAAAGGACATAAGATTAAACCGACCTGATAAACTGACGAAGTAGAACCAACCTGGTTTTTGAATTCCTAAAATACTCGCTCTCTCATCATCAATCCTAGTAAACAATTCCCAACAAGCCCTCATATAACTGACGGCTAGTTACTGGTTTGGGGTTGTTCACCATTGTTTTAGTTCAATCTTGATTATTGAAAAAGAAGATGAACAATGTATCGAAGGACAAATTTGATATTTTCAAAAATTTTAAACCGCACATATCGTCATGTGATACACATAACTGATGACAGGTACTAAATTGGCACGTTTTAGAAGTTTGGATATTGAATTGTTGCATTTTAAAGTGTGGAGACCAAAGTGGCACTAAACCCAAAGTACAAAATACTAATCAGAAATTTTCCCTTTTTAGATAGACGGGAGAGGTCTAAAGCACAAAAAAAAAACTATAAGTGTTTATATAAAAAAATAAAATAAAATAAAAAATCTTAAAGAGCCTTTACTCTCAACAATATTATTCATTACTTAAAATAGCATGCATATGAGACAGGAAATCCTTGGACTATTTTGTCTGCCCAAAATTTTGTTACATTCTTCTTAAGGGAGAATGGCGGTTCAGCCAAGGGTCAGAACTTGTAGACCCAAAGTACTGTTGGGGTAGGTGGCAGCTCAGAATTGATGCCAATTCAAGGGTGGGCGTTGATACATAAAGTATAGGTGGTTGAAATTTTAAATGTTCATAGATCTGTAGTGAAAATCAGAAATTTGCATTGGATCTGTCCATACACATGCTCAACGTGCTTATATCAATGGGGGGTCGGGTTTTGAAGAACTAAACAAAACCCAAATCCAACACAAAACCTGATTAAGCGGGTTTACCACTTAACCCGATCCACCCTACACATGCTCAACGTCTCTAAGTTGGTGTGGCATGTTGATCCATGGCATTGAAATCCGGGCCCAACCATGATGGCCCCTAAAATTGCTGACCAAGTTTTCGAGTCACCGATTCAATCGTTTGGGTCGAATGGATAGGCCATGACATCAAGGGTTTGAGAAATATAATACAGGTTACAGCCCCCGTATTGCATGCATGTTCTAAAAAAACGGAAAATAAAAAATTAAAAAAAAAAAAAAAACTGAAAAACCGGGTAACTAAACCAATCGGTTCAGTTTCAATTTTGTATTTAAAAAAAAAAACGAACTTGTTCAGTTTTTAATTAACCTTAAAAACCTATGAATATATAATATAATATAATATAAATATAAATATAATATAATAATCTAAAGGCCTGGCCTCTGGAGCACTGTTGATAGAAAGACCTGACTCAAAAATGCCTGGCCTTGATTAGCCACTCTGTTGGCAGCCTTGTTTGCTTTCCTACTGACCCAGGTAAGGGAAACCTGCAAACCTTGACTGAGAAGCAAGATATCTTTTAAACTGAACATACAATCCTTACTTAGGACAGTCAGCACCCCTCTTCCAAATGGATAGAATCACCTATTTATAGTAGTCACTTTCAATCTCTACACACGCAAAGCCTCGACTTTTTGCAAGATTAATGGCTTCCAGGATTGCTAAAGCTTCTGCAAGAGCTGGGGAAGAGGCTTGCAAATGGCCATAGCTGACTACTAAGCAAGAACCAAAAAACATCACGGCCTATAACACCAAAAGCTGCTTGCTGCTGAAAGATAAAGGCTCTATCCACGTTCAACTTGATACAACCAGAAATCGGTGGCTTCCGAAAGGGGGGTTTCAGTAGTGAAGTTCTTAGAATGGGGCACTGTGGGCTGCTCCACCCTCAGATTCCTCTTCTGTTGAAGCACCAGTTATTTCTGGCTAACCAAATATTCCATAAAAGGAGAGCAATCAACCTTTGCAAATCAATTTTCATTTTTCACAGACCCGTGGTTATCGCAAAAGTCGATCCAGTTTTTAATGCAATTCACACAAACCACAAGTAGCATTATTAAAAATATGTTTTTCCTTTAGTCTGGTTTTAACCGGAACAGCATCAATGCAACATTTCCAAATGAAAGTTCTAATCTTGGGTTGTACAGGGAGAGACCAAATTGTGCTCCAAAGCTTTGATTACCATTAGCAAGAAAGTAAGCTGATTTAACCGTGAGCTTACCTTGTGGGAGTGGGTTCTAAAAGAGTTCATCCTCCCATCTATGAGAAGCAAGCTTAATACTTTAGAATTTGTTTTGCAACTAGGGGAATAAAATTTTCCTCAATTAACCTCTTATTCCAACCACCTAGGTTTGGATCTATTAATTCACAAACTTTGGACAGCCTAGGATTATTTGGTTTAGGGCCATAGATTTTAAATCCACTCAACCCTGGAACCCAAGGAGAGTTCCAAATATCTATCTTTTCACCGTTTCCAACTCCCCAAGAAATTCCTTCCAGGAGAACAGCTCTACCAGCTAAGAGACTTTTCCATTCCCAAGAGCCATGAAGGCTTAGGTTGGATGAAAGAAAACATTTGTTTCTTAGGTATTTTGCTCTGATTACTTTTGCCCGTAAGCTTGTAGAGCCTACAGCTAACCTCCAAGACAATTTAGCAAGAAGAGCTCTATTAAACATTATTGGATCTCTGAATCCCAACCCTCCATTTAGTTTGTTCTTGCTAAATTGGTTTGAATTAATCCAGTGAATTTTTCTTTCATTTTTTGAAGATCCCCACCAAAAATCTGTGAGCCCGTTTGAAGGCAGGTCTTGTTGGAAAAGGAGAAAACAGGACATGCTGTAAAAGGGGATAGCAGCTATCACAGATTTAAGCTTAACCTCTTTACCTGCTTGGGATAACAACCTTTTCCAACCACTTGTTTTTTTCTCAAACCCTTCAACCAGGTAATTGAAGGTGTTACATTTGGTCTTGCACATTGAAGGGGGGAGACCCAAGTAGATTGATGGTTTTTCTGCCCTTTTGATATGAAGAGACCTTGCCACTACCTTTTATAATTTGGCATACATTTGTAGGTTGAAGGTTACCTCAGATTTAGAGATTGATTTGCTGTCCCGAAGCTTTGGCATAAAGATTAATAGCTCCTAGGATCTCCTGACCTTCTACCAGATTTGCTTTGCTAAAAATATAACTATCATCTACGAAGAAATGGTAACTTGTGAGATTGTAGGGCTACCTCTACAGAATTTAATTCCAGAAATTTTACCTTCTACTCTTTTGGATATAATAGCAAAAAAAACACTTCAGAACACAATAGAAAAAGATAAGGAGAAATGGGATCTCCTTGTCTTAAACCTCTTGACGGGGTAATTATTTTACTTAAGATTTCATTCACTAAAATTTGAAAGGTAACTGAGGAGACAGTTCATCACCCAACCAATTCATTTAGTTTTAAAGCCAAATTTCTCCAAAACTTTTTGCAGTAAAGGCAATTCTATTCTGTCATGGGCCTTACTAATGTCGAGCTTGAGAATGATACAAAATACAAATATGTACAATGCAAATACATGGTTTTTCACTGTAGATGTTGGTATTTGTACTCTTCATGGCTCAGTTCGGGAAGATAAATCCAAGTATATTCAGTACAAATACAAAGGAGCCTCTGAATGAACCATGAATATCTGTATTTCCACCTAACATATTTGTACTTGCGGCTTTGCGGCTTTCTAGAACCAAGCTACAAAGAAGAAACTTGAATAAGTCAGTCAAGTGGTCTCCACCTCTGACACTATTCAGTTTTCACCAAATATTGTTACCGATATTCCATGCATCAAAATCCATTTCATGAAAAAGCAGAGGGAAACAGAACGAAATAGAAAATTGCCTCAAAATCCACTGTTGATTGCTTACAGACTTGTAGTAAGAAATAGAAATTTCATAAAAATGCATAATTATATATTGCTTTTGTTTAATAGATTTAGAAATTAGCATAGATGAACCACACCAGTATAATGTTAAGTCTGTAAAAATTTCAACGGCTCTCTAAACAATGAGCTAAAAAGCTGGTAAAAAACAAAATTTGCCAAAAATCCAGTACGCCTCTAACATAACAAAATAACCATCATGAGGATTGTGAAACAAAAGTTGTGAATGTCATGATGCTGCTATTAAAATGAGGGTTCTCTAATCTGTTTCCCAATCAATATGGTAACTTTCCCCACTAAAGGGTGCTTTTGGTTTGAATTAACACAGTAGATTTAACTATAATATGTAGTGCAAAAACATCACTGCTGCTGGATCGAAGAGGCCTAAACGACTGAGCCCTTGTGTATGACAGAACGTTCATCAGGAAGAGGACCCCCATCAACAGTGTAATGCCGATGCCACAACCTGCATCTGTTACCCATTGTTTACAGTATTTGATGAAGCATCATCATCTATCCCCGATTTGAACCAACAGAACCCTCGGGTGCTGCAGTTGCCATAAAAATTGTGATTAATTAATTGAAGGCAAACATGGCAAACACCTGGTGTATATAGGTGCAGACGTGCAGTTGCCAAATAATTAAAGGTATCTTCATTGAAAGACTAATATGATTTGCACCCTACGCAAGGTGAAGCCAACAAGATCCAATAGAATCTAAGAGACTACCTTTAGGAGGCTCATCTTGAGGCTTCATAGCTGGAAAGAGAAGAACTTCCTGTTCCCAAAGCCCACAAAATGAGTGAGCGCTAACTGGTAGTAAATGCGGGGAAAGCAATGATTGAAAAAATACAAATTAATACATCACACACACAGAATGATGACCTTGATATTTTGTGAATCTGTAAGCAGCATTGTCAGCCGATCAATGCCTAATCCCCAACCACCAGTTGGAGGCAGTCCATACTCCAGGGCTGTGCAGAATGTTTCATCTAAAGCCATTGCTTCATCATCACCTGATTGTCGGTCCTGAAATCATGCCACATATAATTCGAACATCCCCATGCATCCATAAAAATACAATAATTTCTTAGTTCTAGTTCTTTTATCAATTCTCGGTTTTTGTTTGTGGTATACCTTGAGTTGCTCAGCGAATCGTTCTCGTTGTACCACAGGATCATTCAATTCTGTATATGCATTGCAAAGCTATAAATAGCACAGGTTAGTTACAATAAGCAGCATTTACTCGTAAAAAAAAAAAGATTTATCAAGACTAAGAGAATTGAGTCTTCATAGTTCGTACTTCATGCTGATTGATGAACAACTCAAATCGTTCAGTGAGGCCAGGTTTAGATCTATGCCACTTTGCCAATGGGCTCATAATCTCTGGATGGTTAATAATGAACGTAGGGTTTACACATGTCACCTCCAAGAAGTGCCCCACAAGCTGCCAACCAATGAGAAACTGTAAGTCATTCTCATATTACAACAAACATCATTGACAGAATTCGGATGCAATAACTTCAAGTTGGGCACTCGGTGTGTACACGGATTCACCAGGGGAACTAGTTCAGAAAATAATATCACAAAATTAAAATATTTAAAAGAATATACAAATTATACTAGTAATAAATGATTCACTTGCTGAGGTTTTTCTCTTTCAAATGTTCAACCAAGACAATGACAGAATTTTCAGACCAAATTACATGTTAGGTGCTGATTCTAACACTCGAGAAGGTGCTGTTTTCTTTCTTCCATAATTGAAGATACACACTAGGTGGTGTGGAGTCTATCCTTCATCTTTCTTCTGCAATAGGTCTTAAAATATGCCTTTCACTGATTTGGCAGACAACCATACAGCAGCTTAACTAATTTTATTTTTTTCTTAGTTTTTCTTGCCTCTGATGCATCTGTCTTCAACTGTTTAGTTTCAGATTGCTTTCTCTTCAGACCCCCACCCTAAACCATTTTTTATCAATAACAAAAATTTTATTGATAATAAAAATGAGACAGAAGATAATACAAAATTCCCAAATAAACAATGGTACCAACACCAAGCTGCAAGGGGAGGGGAAGAAGGGGAAGAAAAAAGTAGCAATTAGAGAAAGAGCAACTACCCCAGAATAAATGCACCCCAATACAATTCCAATCATTACAATAAACCATAAACTTTGTTGCCTAAAATCTTTTTAGATTTTTTTAATCCATTAGAAATCCCCCATGCAGTATCTAGAACATACACTGTGCCAACCATTGCTCCCCTAACAATTTTCCTTGTTCTAAATGATCCTTCACACCTAGGTGTGCAACTTAGATGAGCTTGGCTTGAGCATTAGTTAAATTTGAATGGACCTGGCTCAAAGGCCTGGGCCAGATGCTGTCTTCTTCAAATCAGATCCCCAACCCGCACCCTTATTGAAAGTTTGAAACCCAAATCAGACCAATTGAAAATTTTTAATTCAAAAAAAAAATTAATCCTTCATCATATAGCCAATAGAAAAAACATGATTTCTTGACTACTAGATATCAAGAGTCAAGATCGATTCAGTGAGTAGCTGATATTTAAGGTCATATTATTTCTCTATCATGATGCAAATACTTAACAAGCAACAAGACATTACTGCAATTAGTGTAACATTGGCCCTTTTGTATAGGGAGATTCTTCCAGGTTTTCATCAACATTTTACCTCTGAAAGTACCATTATTATTGAAAAATATAACAAGGATTTAGGGGTACCTTGTCTAACAAACGAGCTGTTGTCTGCGGAGGAGGACATTTTATATCAAACTTGTTGCAAGCATCCAGCAAATATTTGTTGGCCAAGTCACTTGAAATGTCCTTCGGTATGGAGAGGTTGGCAATCTTCTCCAACTCATCTATCATGTCAATCCTCCTGCAACAGTGAAAATAAAAAACATTGATTTGTAACTGAAAAACTTTTCATTAACAGATCAGAGAAGCTTTATTGATAACAAAAATGACGAAAAATAGAAAATGAAGGGGTGTCCACCAATGTTTTTGGTTTTGTTTTCTAAAAACAATGACAACTACCATCTCAGTAGAAACAATACGGTTTTGCTGATGTGATAGTTGTTTTTGCTTTAGAAAACAAAACCATTCACATTGGCGAACAGACCAGAGTGCAAAAAGTAAACAGAAAAAACCAAAATAGAGATAACAAGAGTTGGGCCCCTAAGCTATTATCCCACAAAATCATGGTCCTATGATACAAAGAAAAAACCCTTTCCAACTGCAATTTTCCTTGTAGTGGTTGTGAGGTTTGACAAAGCTATTCCCAATCCCTGCCAACACAAAACAATATAGCTAACATACCTGAAAGGCGGAGTAAAATCAATCTCTATTGGAGGATTCTCCAACCCATTTGCATGATATTTAATTTTATAGCCACCTGTAAGCTCCTTGATCATCCCTGTTTAATTCCAATTGCAGTGTTAAAACTGAGAAAAAGGTAAACAAAACCTATGATTAAACTAAGACCAGATATTGACAACCCAAAACATGCCCCATCCATTCACTGCACATAGCTAAAAAAACTATGCAGCACTTACCACTTAACATCTTCTCAGTCAGCTCCATCAAGTCATTGTAATCTGCAAAAGCCATATAAAACTCACAAGTAGTGAATTCAGGATTATGAGTCAAATCAATCCCCTCATTTCTGAACTGTTTTCCTATCTCATAGACTCGATCTAGCCCACCAACAACCAGCTCCTTAAGATAGAGTTCAGGAGCTATCCGCATGTAGAGCTTCATATTCAGCTCATTGTGATGAGTAACAAATGGCCGTGCAGCTGCTCCACCAGCAATCATGTTCATCATAGGTGTTTCAACCTGATATTACAAATGTTTTTCTTATAAATGACTTACAAATTATCTTGCAGAAGGAAGATGAAAATTAGTTTTCACAGCACAAAAATAAAAACAAAAAATATGTCATCCTATGATACATTAATGTTGGTCTGATTGTTGCAATGACATGACTTTATACGTCAGATTTGGGAGTGAAGAACAAAAAAAGGCAAGCTCAAATTATTAAAGTAATCTATGACCAATTATCAAGTGTTGTAAATTTATACTTCAAGCCCAAACCTCAGCCTAAAACCAGAGATTTTTGTATTTGCATATCACAGGTTTGGGGAGTAGTTCCTTTCTCATCTCAGAACAAGTGTCGGTACTGCATTATCACATCAACAAGGAAAACAAAGAACTAGAGACAAACCTCCAAGAAGTCAAGATTGTCAAGGAAGCTTCTAATGTAAGAAACAATCTTTGCTCGAGTCTTGAATATTTGTCGAACCTCCCCATTCAACATCAAATCTAAATATCGTTGACGGTATCGAGTTTCCTGACATCAAAATCAAAGAAAAAAATGAGCATTATTAGCTCGATAAGGAAAGGTCAGATTTCTTATTATATATTAATCAAAAGAAAGGGGACATAAAGATTATTTTGCACCATTGGGAATACCTTATTTGGTCTATCATTTATGGAGATAACTCTACCCCCGTTGCATTAGGCCATTACCCATGTTCAACCCAGGTATCTAGAGTCTAGGGGGAGGGTGGGGTGGATATGAGCCTAACCTTTGGCACATTTTGCACAAAATGGCCACTCTCAGACTCGAATTTGTATTCTAATGCTTGTCAGCCTGACATTTTACCATTACACAAAGCACTGGTTACTTTGAATAGGAAAAGCAAAATAAAATTAACACAGGAGTTAAGGAACTCAACATGGACTTCTGCAGCAGCAAGTACAAACATTTTTTGTATAATACCCATTTTGCACATTCCTCCTACTGAGAGGGCACTAGCATAAATAGCACTTAGGCCAATATTTGATCATTAATTGGAGTTCAATTTTAAATAATTGGATTTGTAAATTTCAAAAGTAATTACAAATACCTAGGAAATGGAAGCTTTTATTAGATTACACCTTATTATGCTAATGATAAGAAGGTTTGAGGTTTTAGACCATCCTAATCATCTAAGAATGTGGCTAATTAAACTTTATGTTGAATTACAAATAAAAATGCCTATCCTATGTTGGCTTAGCTGTCAAGATTAAGAAGAGAGTACGAAATAGTACTCTTAAATTGGCATTTGGTTCTCATGGCTGGCCACCGTAGAGAATTTTAGGAAATTATGCCAACCTAGTATTTGATTCTTTCTTCTTCCCTCAAAACAAGAATATGGTGCATATAATATCTTATTGAAAACTTTAACCGCATTTCCTCTTTAAAGTTCCTTTGTGGGTGGGGGAATCATCATGCATGACTAAGGCGGTGTTGGGTTGGTAGATATCTTAGTCACAAACATGACACACTAAAGAAGCATTCAGTTGAGCTCATTAATGATATTTGTGCTTTGAAACACAAATATCATCATGTTATGTCCACAGCAAAATATCATGCTAAGATACATGCAATGGTGTGTTTGCCAACATCACCCTGATTTCTTAAAGGTAAGGTCTTGGTACTGAAAATAAGGCAAAGGAATCAGAAAAAACGCTTCTAAAGAAAGAGGTTGTATTGCATTTAATTCTCTATCCATGCAACGAAGATGAAGTTTAATTTCCTTTTCTTTACTGCACTTTCTAGGTGCTAAAAGATCGCCAATACTCAATATCCCATTGAATATTAGTTCAGTGTACATGGGTTGAAATTGTATATAACTTCTCTCTTCTATCAATATAAATTTGACACTAAATCCTCCAGAGAACTCCACATTGATGACTCTGGTTATTACAACTAGACAAGGATCAAAATTTCATGATGTATCAGGGTGTTTCACCATATCAAGCATATTGCATCATTCCAGTAGCACACCAACACACCTAAATAATAATATATTTGAGTTTTGGGCAATCAGGGGTGGCCAAGCCTAAGACCCCCTCCCCCGGTTGGCTTTTGGTAAAAAATCAAAAAAGGGGTGTGCCTTCGAAACACCCAATACCAAGGTTCATGCATATCAGGTGTATCAGTATTTAAAATCTTGCACCTAGGGGTGCAACTTGAACAGGCTCAGCTTGAGGATCTGTTAAAATTTGAATTGCCAAGACCCTGATGCTGTGTAAATTCTTCAAATTGGGCATGCAACTTGCTCTCCTAATTACAATGGCCAAATTTTCTGTATTTCACTAGCATACAGGGCATCTATACCCTTCATCATAATTACCCAAAAATTCTTATTCTTAAATATGATTTCTGTTTTCAGCCTAACCCCAGGCTACATAACAGAGTTTACAAGAGATGGTCAAAATAGAGTTTACAAGAGATGCACAATATAGCCTAACCCCAGGCTAAATCCATGTATTAGTAGTTTTGCTCTCTGTGCATTAGTAGTTCTATTCAGAAAGAAAAAAGTGCTGGAAAGATACAAGCCCAATTACAACTTAAACCTAAATTCAGGCAAAAATAGACACCTGGTACAGGACGCGAAGAAATTGATGTTCAATGTAATAGGTCTATTTGGGCTTCAAGCCTTCAACCAAAAGCAGAAAAGAACTCCCTTGTATCTTCAATTCTACTCAGTTACCTGAACTCGATTTACCAAATCTTAATATTTAGCTATACACTCCTAGTATACAGGCCACAGCTCCAAAAAAGGGAAGAAAAATGAAGAGAAAATAATGACAGGATGCAGCAAAATAGAACCAACACTACCCAATCAATCAAAAAATCCAAGACTGCACAGGCATCAAAAAAAAGAGTAGATGACCAAAAGCAAATGCCTCATACAACAATAAACCCAAAACCAACCGCTATACACCAGAAAGGAAGCATGTAATCAATGAGAAAGGATCAAAATCAGGATTTATTCAGCTGGGCTAGCCTAATAATTAAAGAGGGGCGCTTAACACGTAAGTATAGTAAATCATCTTTTTTTCATAATTTTATAAAAACCTATATACAAAAGACCCAAGGATAACTGCTATACCACTGTGTCAGAACCAGCAAAAAATAGAACTAAACTTTAAAAACTTGTCATCAACACACATAATAGAATCCCTAATTCATCGTAGCACCATAGATCACATGACTACCAACGAGCCCAAGAACACACAATCTGGATATCAATTGGCCAATTAAGCAACCTATGGCCAATTTTCACAGCAGAAAGTTGGCTGCATGTTTTCTGTTTCTGAGTTATTTGAGTTCTTAAACTTGAGTTTTATTAGTTTTAAGACTTGTTGTGGCAGCTTTGTTTCTAAAACTGATTTTAGATTTAGAATTTCAAATAACATTCACAATGTTCAAAAGCTTCAAGTAACATGACTATTACTACACATTGGGTGGGCGGGTCAGCATATGGTTTTGCTGATTGTCTTCCTAAACAAGAGGCAATAAGGAACATCTCTATTGGGCGGCTTCCTTGAGGAACATGACTGGTGCTATACATTGGTATTTGGTAGGAAGGTCAGCAAATGGTTTGGCTGATTGTCTTGCCAAACAAGGGGCAAATAGGGAACTTCTCTACTGGGTTGCTTTGTGATCTTGCTCTTTTTCAGACTCTTACCTAGTTTTATTGATGTTGTAATCACTTTAAGGGTGGGTCACACCTCACGCTACTCTCTGGGATGCATTTATCAGTATATATATATATATATATATATATATATATATATATATGTATATTGAGTAACAAAAATCTTTATTAATGATGTGAAGATTTGTGAAACTTTAGATACAATAGGGGGAGGTAAAATGTCTTAACTCCCCACCAACAGAATACAATGAAGGAAAGTTAAAAATATATTTATCAGTCTATATATATTTTTTGCTAATGACTTCAACTTTCAATTATCCAAAAAAAAATAGAACAAAAACTTCAACTTATATGATATTTTAAGAGTTTGGTTAGGTTACAGTCTTTTCACCTGTGGGTATGAATTTGTGTCTGGCACATCTTCAACAAAGGGAAATGAAGGCATATATAAGGTCCATTAATAATGTCCTCATTAACCAAAAATTATGCCTGTAAAAATGAACTATAAACTTTGGAATCAAGCTGTTGTTCTTAGTCGTGCTTTGTCTGGTGAGGTGCCCAAAATTTTGATCCCTTTTTCCAATGCCTAGTCAAACTTTTTGCTTCTCTGTATAATGCCCAAAAAAACATCTGTATTAAGGTGAGAAGATTGTTTTTTGATGAGTTAAGGTGAGAAGATTGTTGCTAGTTCTGATTCTAGAAAGTCATGTCCTTTTTCTTACTCCCCTCACCAATTCCAATTTTTTTCTTTCTGATCCCTGATCTACCATCATTCAACTTTTACCTTCTTGCAAATTATTTTTTCTTTCCCATTTCCTGCATATGGAAATTTTCCTCATTACTCTAAAATCCCTAAATTTTTATTTACCAGCAGAACTTGATCTTCCCCACAGACAATATTTCTTTTCAAGTATTTAAACAAAACAAGTGCCACATATTGGCAACCCTTTCCTACATCAAATATTATTTACACTCCATGCATACCATGGAATCTCCCTCTAAGAAGAAATTATCTACAATGGAATCTCCCTCTACAAAGAAATATCAACCATATCAAAGTATACATCATAGTTGTCAAGGCGACGCCTAGGCGATTTTTAGAGGTCGCCTCACCCGACGCCAAGGTGTTTTTGTATTAGGTGTTCACCCCCCCACCCCCCCCCACCCCGCGCACACACGTATATCATTTTATTGGGTTTGAGACTTTGAGTTTTGAACTGAGAGCTGAGAAGAGAAAGCAAGGACTGAGAAGTTTCCATTGTTCAGTCCAAGTCGTCCAAGACCTCCAGTTTCCATTGTTCTTCTTCTTCTTCTTTAAGAAATACTTTTGGGATGAAATAGGGGCTCCGCCGCCTCCTCCTCCTTCCTAAAATCACACTGGTACTCCTTTCTTACTTTTAACAATCCTTCATTTTTTTAGTCTGAAACAGGGTCTCCACCCCCTTAAACACAGTCCATGTCATCCTCTTGAACAACTTATTTTGGGAACGAAACAGGGGCTCCGCCCCCTTATTTTTCTCTTTTCTTAGCTGCACTCTCCCATTTTTGTTGGCCTGGATGCTAACTATGGCATTTTATGTTTTACTCAAATGATTTTATTGCTAATAGCTAGCATACAGGTATGCTGGTTAGTATAAAAAACCAATAAAGTAGCTTAAGAGGGTAGGGATATTTATTTTATACTTTCAAATTCCATCACCTAGGCACCTTGACAACTATAGTATACATGAACAGAGACATGGATAAACAAGCCCTGTCCTTAACATTTGGTCCATGCCAATAGACAGACTAACAGAAAATATGGTGAAATTTTACCCTGCTATTTAAGAAAAGTACTAATTGGTTCAATTCATTTTTTTAACAAAAAGAAGATGGAAGAAAGACAAAACAATCAATGTAACTGGGGCATACTTAAAAGGCATTCCTTGAAGAAGTTTAGTACCTGATCCTTTAGGATGTATTTTTCAGGATTCCTAGCACTCCCTGGCATCCATTGAGTTTTCTGCAATCCATTGAGAAAACAATTTATATCAATGATAGCCAGCCAGTCAAGAACATAAGCCAGCCCATTCCTATGGAGAACTAATTCTCTGTAAATATTTATCACCTTCATATTATCATTATCTGCAGATTCGGCACTATCTGCACTGGGAGAATTGTTCACCTTCCCACCAGCTTTTCCTTTTGTACCACGAGAGAATGTCTGCCTGGGCATCATATGAAGACAATGGGATAGGACAATAAATCCCTTTGGGAAAATACTTAACTCTCCCCTTTTACTCTTCCCTGTAGATGAAGAACCAAAATAGTAAACAAATTGATACAGAAGATTCGTCTAAAATAAGAATAGACATGACAGTTCATCTAATGCAGAATGCCACCACAGAACCTCACTCAAAGCAAAATATTTGCATACATAATACATATTTACAGGAGGTTAGACTACAAAAAATCAAGGACCCTTAAACAAGATAAAAACCATAGCACAAAAGGTCATAGAATAGCTCAAACTATAATATCTTATTATAGGCATCACTAAAATTCCTTAGAAGAAGCTGCTATTCAGCACTTGGTCTTAAATTATTTGCACTAGTCACAGATTGACTAAAAATATTCAAGAGGAGGTCCCGGAGTGCCCAATTTTTCTGATGACATAGTATTAATTGATGACACTAGTAGGATTAAATACAAAATTAGCTTTATGGACAACTGCATTAGAAACAAGAGGTTTTAAAATAAGAAGGATTAAAATAGAATATATGCAATGTAAATTAATAATAATAGAAGTGCAAATCAGGTACACATAGGATTAAAGACCTCTAGATAACTAAATGTCACCTCTTCCTACCATGGTCCAATAAGTCAAAAAAAAAAAATGAGAAATCGAGTCGCCCATAAGAGCACATAGGCAAAATGGATGGGTGCATCCAAGTCTCATCTGGCAAGGGAATACCACTTCAACTAACAAGGAAATTATATAAATTAGTTGTAAGGCCAGTGCTTAGATGGATGAGTGGAAGACTAGAAAGGACAGGATTAGAAATGAAGCCAATAAGAAGGAACCTAGGAGTAGCTCCAATAGGTGATAAAATGAGAAAAGGTAGATTGAGATGGTTAGGTCACGTGAATATAAGGCCATCTACAGCATCTGTTAGGAAAAGTGATCTGTTAGAAGTTGAAGAGGCTAGAAGAGCTAGGGACAAACCTAAAAGGACTTGGGTGGAAGTAAAAATAAATGATTTAAGCACCCACAAATTAATGATGGATATGGCACTGAACACAACAGAATGGAATAACAGTATTCATGTAGCCATCCCCATATGGTTGGGACAAGGCTTGGATGATGATGATTAATTTTTTGTTTTTTTAAAGCCATGATGATAATTCACTGAATGCTGGATGAGTTCCATTTAATTTAATTAGACTACAATACCTTGGGCTTTCAGTTAAGTCATCACCTATGAATATGTCCAATAAAGTTAAGATTTGCATTTTGCATTTATTTTTTATCAATAGATTTGCATTTTGCATTGATACAAGATAATGAAAAATACAGGATTCCACAAAAGTAAGATCAAAGTTGGAAAAAGATAATGACAACAATGATGACCAAAATTTGTCTTTTTCCATTTTTACATGATATACAGCCAGCTTAAACTTCGATCTCCATTTTTTTCTTTCGGTTCATCTCTCTTCCCCATGGTTGATTCCTTTAAGATTAAACCATATTAAAGTCCCAACTGCCCAATGAAGACCTAGAATCATCAATCTGATCCCTACTCCTGACCAACAATTCAGTAATCACATGGAACTAGAAGACAAACAAAATAACCAATATAGCCAAAACTCAATGGTGGTTTTCTTTCTCCAAACAAATTCAACAAGTCATCTGATATAATCTGGTCAAAGGGGTAAATATGCCAGAAAGGTATGATACCAGAACTTTGACCAATCACCACCACCGTGAATTTTGATGAATGCTATCTGATTGGTTACTACAGTTGTGATACAGGCTGATTGGTTATTTCGTTATCAATTTTTGAGGTATCATTCCTTTACGGTATCATAGTCAGACTCTATGATAAAACTCTATATAAATGCTCTTGGATGTTATGAAGGTTTTTGGAAGACATTCCAAGATATTGACCACTGTCACATGTGACACCTAATGAATTGTGAAACCACCAGTATTTTAAACAAAACACCAGTTGATGTGATGTTTTGTTTTTTCTTTCAAATACCGGTGTATTCGCATTTAATCAAGGGTCTCCATAGATTTAAGACGGAATATTTTCCAAGGAAACTAAAGAACAATAAATATTATCCTGAAGGTGTAACTTATGTGTTCACAATTTCTTAAGAAAATTCAAGTGTTTAACTGTAACCCATTTACCTGGAAATCCAGACACACCAACAATATCTCCCCGCTTCACACCAGAATGAAATCTAGAAAACTCAGCTTCATCCATGTCAGAGTTCCTGCACAAAAGCAAATATATCATTTTTTATTAGTAAAGCAAATAAACCAAGTTAAAGAATGGCATGAAATGACTCTCCATGACTCCATCCAAAACCAGCATCTTCAATACATTTGTGCAGTATTAAGAAAGATCAAGGCAATAATAGAATTCTGACCAAATAATAAATTGAGAATTATGATATATTCTAGCCATTTTACCTTCAAAAGTAACATCTATACTATAGAAAGCTGATACTTGCATTGGTTTCTGTGCACGTCATGGAAGTTAAATTCAAATATGCATTCAAGCCTACCTGTTACTTAAATGGGAAATATTCTGTTCATAAAGTGTTTATGCAATCTTTTTCTTAAAGATGAAATCCTTTAAGGAAAGGAAGAAGAGAAATGGAAACATCAATGCAAAAAGAGAAATCCTTCACCAAATTATTGTTCTTAAGAATTTAAACTCAAGATAAGGCAATGAAGGACATATGGTGAATAAATAAATATGGCATCAGGTGTATGTGATTCAAATGAAAAATAAGGCACAGAAACCCAACTCTTGCAACAAAACCTGCCAACTTGAGATAAGGATGCAAGGTATATGTTAGGAAGCCAACACGAGTTTGCAAAAGAAAAAGTACACTACTAAGCATACAATTTATAATGTAATTTTATAGCAATATAATTTATACAGGTATAGCAGGAATACTAGATTTTCCAAGTCTTATAACAATCAAAATCTGATCGAATGGCTGTAATTCATCCATGCAACTTAGGTTCCTATCTCCCTAGAACTGAAGAATATAGAGGTACAAACCTACAAACAGATTCCATTCAACTAAAGTCACAAGAAAGATTATTATTTCCCCAAATCAGTGACAAGATTGATGTTATTCGTTCACAGGCCAGGCTTTGCCTCTTTATTAATAGAAAATGTCCAGGCCCAAGCCAGGGCCCAGCCCGAGTGCCTGATCATCAGTTCTAGATCTTGAACCCGAGCCTAGTTCTTATATAAAGAACAAATTCCAGGCCCAGGACTAAAGCCCAGCCCGAATAGGAACAAGTATTTTTTATATATTACCAATATATATTTTTATTTACTAACATATATAATATTTTTAGATACTAATAATAATATATTACTAAATGCTAGTGTATATTTCTTGTATATGCTACTAAATGCTAATATATATTTTTCATATATATTACTATATACTAATATATATTTTTATTATATATAATATTAATGGGCTGAGCTCAGACTGGGCTTATTTACAAAAGCCTGGGCCAAGCACGAGCCCGCAGCCAAGCCCACCAGGCTACTCCTTGAGGCCGTAAGGGTGAAAACAGTCATAAGCAAGGATCAAAATTTTGGGAACCCTCTTTTTTTAATAAAAAAATATAATTAAAAACATCCCAAAAAACCAATTTAAAAAAAAAAACTAAAAAAATAGAAACATGCATGGTTTTTAGTACCGATACGCCTCTGCCAATTCACAGGACCATATCGATACTTTGAACCTTGGTGATAAGACAGTAAGTAACTACGTAGGAAGAAATGAAAGTCCAGCTTCACCCCGGTACGTATGCTCCCTAATAATAAGAAGTGGCCATATTGACTCCTTCCCTAGCTAGACCATCTGCAAGTGAATTAGCAGATGTAGAAAACCACCTGAATGAGATATCAATATGTTTTCCATCAAATAGACACATATACATGCATATACATGTATATATATATATATATATATGCCAACTAAATGAAATAATCCAGAGAATGAGAGTGAAAAGGGGGGAAAACAAAAATGTGGTGACTAGACAAGAGAAGGAAAAGCAGGTAATGAAATAATTAAGTGGTCCAAATTCTAAAAATAATGCACCAATATTTCTCAAATCATTACAAAAAACATATCCATTGTAGAGACAACATATGCTGAGGACAAAATAAATAAATAAATATGTACACAACAAAAACAGGAAAACGAAATCCAAGGCAGTGATAACAACAATAAACATCTTGAGAACCTTGCATCAACCATGACTTGAACTTTAGCACCATCGCCATGTAGATCATAAAAGAATAGCTTTGAAGAAGAAACTCGTTTGACCATAATCCTCCCTTGCATAAGAGAATTTTATCAATATTAGGTGGGAGAAATTTGGGGAACATATAAAGAATACCAAAAAGAATTAAAAACATCTTGTCTTCTGTTTAGTACCAGCCAAAGAAATTGTGACATCCTCAAGATGATCTCCATTGCCTAAGCCTCCATACTTCTCAATATATTCTGGGATAGACATTGAAATAAAAAACTTGTGAGGGTATGGATTCCTCCCAGCTACCTTTTGGGATGCAAGCACTTTCAACCTATTTTCAAAGTATTGCTGCAGAAAAATAACAAAAATAAGGTCATTCAAAAGAAGCTACAGCAAATATCTTGTGGAACTTCTCAACAATAAAAACACCAATAAAAGCATTAGTAAAGAAAGCATGCCTTTGGGTCCATTTCTTCATCATCTTCCATGTCAGGCTTTTGAACCTGAGAATTCGAAGTGGCAGCAGCCTGCAAATGATGGATTGGCTAAAATATGAAATTGAAATACTAGATAGCAAAACTATTAAAATGGATATTATGTAATAATGCAAGACTTATGTTCATAATCATGCTTAACATCAGAAAAAAGATGTAACACATCCAGAAATAATAGTTATGCACATATCAAGATCTCAAGCTTGTCTACCCAAGGCAAATACTAAACAAATAAACTGTGCACATGATTTGGGTTTTGTATAATTCAAAAAAAAATTATCTTCTCATAGAAAATATCAATTTCTTAGTAGAACACTAGGAATTTAGGAAACATCACCTTTAATGAAACTTGTATTGTTAGATTCAAAATGTCAACACTTTAACATCAAATGTTATGATATCCTAATTTAAACATAACTCTACAACAAGAAAGATTTGGAATCAAAAAGAGAAACATAATAAGCAAGCCTAGGTCCCTTTACCAAACAGTACCCATATACAAGCTTCAAATGGCCACCTTCAAGAACAAAATTTATGAATGTAATACATCAGAAGAAATAGCTTCTATACCACGGAAGGAAGCCCAATAGAATTAATTTTTGTCAAACTCTCCCCTGGCCAAGCCATCCACAAAGGAATTAGCTGCAAAAGGGATCCATCTAACAAGATGTTCACTCTTGAAGCCAAATACACTATGATAAATACTACTCTCTGATCTCTAAAAGCACTTTCCACTCCCCACACCCCAAGGAGGCCAGGTCCTAAGGGATTAACCATCAAAGTTGAATTTAACAGCTCCATCAAGAGGAGGGCCCCTATCCTGCAGCATGTACATCGAAGGGATGATGAGTATGCCCTGCCATTACTGGGAAACCAAGAACTTTAACCGAATCATCCATAACCAATATCCAGCACGAAACATAAATCATGATCACCATTATAACAATCTAAAATGTGGTTAGATTTATCGAAAGAAACTTCAACCCCTCTTTCATTTTCTAGCAGCATTTTCTTGTTGATATTGGGATTGTTTGGTGATGGATCCTTATCCACCTACTAGGACAAAGAACATTTGTGAAGGAGCACCTGAACTTTGATTCTTTAGAGTTTCTTTTTTTATCAGCAACAATCTTCATTCTTTGGTGTACTATGTACATAGGAAGAGAGTATCTCTTGATCTCTCAATAATCCTCAGATGCAAAACATGATCATTATTTGACCTCGTTACCATCACAGTGCCCAATCAAACCAAGGAAGATAAATAATGTTTCAATGGGGCCGTCAACAGGCCAGATTGAGATCGAATAATGCTTATATACAAGTCTGGTACTCTGGTCCAATTAAAATTCACAAACATATCAAATGCAACTGATTGGATTTGAATAGCACTTGAATTGAATTCCAATAAATATCATTAACAAAAAAAACTAATTTCTACGTACAACTTACCAATAGAAGCAATATATATATATATAGTCAGGTCACTAGCAGCCTTAATTTTCTTGGGATTAAGGAATCAAAAGATGGCAGTTCATAATGGATTAAGGTCACTAACAGCCTCACAAGTTGACAGAACTTCTGAAGGTCATCACTTGCGGGGGGATTCAAGGCCTAGTCACACAAATCACAGGTTGAAGAATGCACTTGGCTTAAACTGAAATGAGGAGGAGCGGGATTACCTGGTTGTCATTAGCTGGTTTCAGAATGACAACTTTGAAACATGTCTGAGGCTTTTTAATAGAGAGGTGAGTACTTTGACCTCCAGAGTAACCGACTAAACATTTCCTTCAGAGGACTCCAAGGTCTTCCAACACAACGGCAAAAAAATCTCGCCATTATTATTATGGGGAATAATTTTTCCGTGATAATGTGTGGATGTATTGCCTTACTAATCTTAGGGCCATGGATCCACGTTCTCCTTCTCCATATTATTATTATTAATGAACTTTCCTTTTTCGTTATAGATTAAAAAGGGTATTGTAAAATTGAGTTTTTTTCACACATTCAAATATTGTCTTAAAATGAAATTCTAAATTGCATGAAATATGCAAATTGCAACTTGCATAAGAAAGGCGGAGAGAGCAGAAAAAACAAGAGCACCTTTTTCTGTTTTTCCTCCTCTTTGAGCCGTCTTTCTGCTTCTTTCTGCCTCATCTTTGCTTCTCTCTTGAGAGCACTGCAGAAGTTTTGTGAAAATCAAAACCCATCTAAGAAACAGCAGGAGAAAGAAAAAAATCATCTAAAATAAAAAGAAGATAATTGGATGTTCCTTCTGCTTTACTTTTTGCTTGGAGCTTCGGCTGGAGCCGGAGAAGAAGATTCAAGCGAAAGGTCTGAAACAGCTTTTGCTGTTGCTGCTGTTTCTTCCATGGATGCCCCCGGAAATGCTTCTACTGTTTCTTCAACGCCACCGAAACAGACAAATACAGAGTGAGTGAGAGAGAAGGGCTGGGGAGAGGAAAGAGAGGTTTAAGAGTTTATCAAGGATACGGGTAGAGCTAGGGTTTGGAGCTCTTTTTGTTTTGCTATTATAAGATGGAACTTTTCATGAAAAATGAAAAATCCAGGTGTAATTTTTATAAATCACGTGACAATAATATAACTCGTTGGGTTTTGCTCCGGTTGGACCGAGTCCGCATCTGCTCACAACGAAAGACTAGTCCAACGCGTTCTAAAATGAAATCTGGATTTGCTCCTCACGTTTCGCACCTCACACCAGCCTCACAGTCCTATCTCACCGGCAGATCTGGACTCTCCAAAATATCTGTATACGTACATTTTGCAGACATGGTGGGTCAATGAATCCATTCTCATGGTGAAATGTACGGATACATATCATGCCAGAAGCGTGTTGGAATAGTTTTTATGAGCAGATCCCTTTTTAGTTTTATTGGTTGCGTTTGGAAACGCTGCAAATGGAGTGTAAATCCCGGTTCAGGACAAATTTGTACTCTAGTTTACATTCGATTGTCTTTGGCAATATTATATTTATGCATTGACAAATGACATGAAAATACATTTTCTAATGCATATTTACATTGATAATAGAATGCAAAAGTACATCAAGTAAATTTGCATTCAAGTGGGCTTTTGATAAAAAATGAATATGCTTTATTGGACTTCGTATTTGTATCCATTAAAGCTAAAAGTCTTGGTAAGAAAGTAAATTTATCGGTGCAAAACTAACCCAACTTTACAATTTATATAGACCATTTTACACTCTACATATTTGCATTCACACTTACTTGCATCATTTCCGAACACAGCCATCAAGCTCATCTCATGTTATAAATAAATAGTAATAATTATTAATGAATATGGTATGTGGCTTTTAAAGTTTTAGACAACCTCTAGTATATTAAAACAAAACTAGCTACGTCAGTGTGTCTCTCCTTTTTCCCCCTCTCAATTCAACTCAACGTATTCATTCATTGCCTCTCTTTCCTCATACCATTTATAGTTCTTTAAATTTATGGCTTCATTATGGGTTCTTTTCTGAAGGAAACCATCCAAAATCTAATAATGCCTCCCTCTCTATAGAAACCTTACAAACTCGAATTTCATAATCATAACAAAGATGGAAACTAATGAGGGGACATGTGGATGCGAGATTAGGTCACCTCATATACCTCTATAAAAACTTTACAAAGATGGAATCTAATAACACCTCCCAAAACTCGGCATTTGTTGTCACCTTAATAGGCCAGGTCACCTCGGCTACCTCGGCAAAGACCGAGGTCTAAGTAGCTTGGGATGGCCTGACCAGTTGAAGTAACATGTAGCAGACTTCTAGAAGAAAGTCAGCTGCCTAAGTTCTTCGGGATCATGTCGTACGACTGTAGGTCTTATCCATATCCCACCCAGACCGAACGGACCCAATAAGCCTTATCGGCTATCACAAAGTCCACCTCCTACTACGGAACAGACTCCTAACAGCACGCATCGGGGATCTCGAAGGTGTTTCGTGAGACCTACGATAACTCCTATATAAAAGCATCTACCCCGATGACACAAGGTATGTGCGATTTATTGTTCACTGGACACTTATAAGACTTGTGTCAGTTTAAAATGATCACATCCATTGGACTTTGGAGATAGCTAGGGTTAGACCCTAAACATAGCCAATGGGTGTTTAGAAAAAACACTAAGCCTGGACCAGTTTCTAGTTATGCATTGGACCTTGGAGATAGATAGGGTAAACTGAAAATTTGCATTTAACCCCACACTTGATTATGATACTATACTAGGTATTGGACTAAGTTGTCTTTGATGTGCCAACTAGTGAGATCCATCAAGGGTCAAATACTTGGGCATGTTGTGACTGTTCAGGAAGTTACTTGAGTAGGTGATCATAGTGATAGGATTGACCCTTTTGTTAGACAAAGTGAATATCAAGCTTAACACTCTATCTAATGAAAAGTTACATTATCAGTAGTGAATTTCAATTGTATTTGAAATATGATTTGCAAAATGTGTCTATATGTTATATTACTATTTTATGAAAAGGATTTGCAAAAGGTTTTAATACCGGGATTCATCCGATCAGAGAGAGTAAAACTACATTTTGCAATCAGGGAAGAGGTTTTGCCTTATGGGCAATGTTCTGGTGATTATGGGCCAAAACGTTATGTTTAAGAGACCATTACAATATTGATTATTTGATGGGCTTTATTTTATATAAGTCTATTATCCTTGGGTCTTCATAGGGTTGGTGAATCCAATGATCATTTAGGGGTAATTGTTGGGCCCAAATTGAGTCAAAGTTAATTGGATTAGGGGTTCACTACTATGAGCATTGAATTCAACCTAACCTCTTTCAAAGGTAGGGCTAAACCCTTATGAACTTGTGTAAGACCTTTGTGAATCCAAGGCCATACAGTATTTAGTCTCAAAGTGGCCATGCAACACCTTGGGATGTGACCCATTAGAGAAAATGAGACTAAGGCCCATTACTAATATGATTAGTTAAATGATCACATGACAACATGTGACTTGGGTGAGAATGGGCATGGATCTAGGTATGGAGTATCTATCATCTTAAGAGGACAATTCTTATCAATTAAAGATAAAGTCCTAATCTAAATTTGATTTGGATCAATTTTTAATTAGATTAAGAGAATGTTCTATATAAAGGAGAAAGAGGGGAGAGTCTAATTCAGTTAATTCTCTTCACTCTCTTGTTCTCTCATCTTCTCCCGTGCCTCCCAAAAACCCTAATTCGACCTAGCATTGTTAGGGACTGATTTCAATCAGGGTATATCAGGTTCACAAAGCCAATTCAATCCAAGCAAGTAAGGTTTTTAAAACTAAATCAAACAACGAACCGTTCAAGGGTCCAGTTCCCGAGTCGAACGATTTGACCGTTTGAATTGAATGGATGACCCATTTTGACAAAAAAATACAAAATTTAAAAAATAAAAATGGTCAAAAACTGTTGGACTATTCGAATGGTTTGACCACCTAGGTCAACGGTTTGGGCCAAAAAATGGTTATAGGGTAAAATGGAACCAATTCCCAGTTTTTTGGTCTAACCGTCTGGTCCAGTCCAGTTTTGAAAACGTTACAAGCAAGTTGGAGAATTGTTTTTGCCGAAACGGTGTTGCTGAATCGATTTCACATACACACTATGCCATCTTCAATTGGAGGTCGGTTTTTTGGCTTATATTGGGCGTAAACTACCACTATAGGATATGCATTTTGTGGTATCCATATCAAATATGATCAAATTTAATTTGGGTTTCAAATTTAGTTCAGTTCAATGCAAGATCGATCCAGAAATTTCAGATTTCAAAATTATTAAGAAATCGGTTTCCATGTTGGGTTACAAAATTTTTATAAATTTGGTCAGCCACCAAACTTGGTTCGGCCATGTCAAACCTAATTTCTAACCCTTCCAAGCAAGTCTATGTCTCTAGCTTCCCTTTTAGATGTCAATCTTTGTATATTTGAAATAAACCCCAAAATACTTTAGACTTAGTACAAATACATATAAAATAATACAAAGTACAAGGTTTTGCACTCTACATATTTGTATTTGTACTCCATCCAAACTAAGCCTTAGGGATGTTAACATTTGAACCCAAGTACTCACAATCACAAAGACCTTTCTTATTTGACCATTAAGCCATTTAAATGATTTAATCATTTTTCTTCAATTTAATATTTGAATGCCTATTACAAGTTATGTAAAAGGTAATATTTACAAAACTTAAATTATAATGAAAAGTTTTGGACGTTATTATTACTACTACTACAATTGAAAATCAAGTTTTTAGAAAACATACTCCATTTTATTTATTTATTTATTTTGGGAGGTGGGGGGAAGAAAAGTCCCATGGGTAGACCTTGGAACAAACCTAGGAATTGCTGAGGTCAAAACTAACCCTAGAATTGATCTTTAATGAGTAGGTTCAAGGTTTTGCCTTGGAATCAAACCAAACCAATCCATGCTCATCCCTTGTAAAATGTTTTCCCTCAAGGATAACAGAAAGACAATGTAGAGTTTTGGGACCAAAAGGTGGTGTACTTAGGGTCCTGTTAATGAATATGGATTTCGTTCTCACACCATCCTTACAACACTTCAGCCGTGCATTTGGAACATCTCCTCGTGCACGAAACATACAAGGAGATGTTCCCAATGCATGGCTGCAATTGTTGAGAGAATGGTGTGACTTGTGAGGATGAAACTCTATCATGTTAATGAGTGCATGCAAAGCGACCCATTTACATTTACAAATAATAAATACACATTTCTTTTATTTCTTCATTTTGGCTTAATTTGGAAGGAGTAAAAATGCAAATATGTACAATACAAATACATACAAATTAATACAAAAACAAGGTTTTGCACTCTACATATTTGTATTTGTACTCCTTCCAAATGGAGCCTTTAAAGCACAAAAAATCATTAAGGTTATGTTTGGTTGCAATGCAAATAAATTTGCACTAATGCAAAAGTGTGAAAATGCAAATGATTTGAGTATAAATACTGATTTATTTTTGTTTCAAACTTTAACTTACAAATGAAGTAAACTAAGACATGAAGCAAAATAAAGCATGGTTTTCAAAATTGGACCGGACCAGGCGGTCGGACCGGGAACTGGTCACTTGGTCGATTTCATTTTCCCCAAAACCGTTGATTTTGGTCAGCAAACCGCTGAACCAGCTGGTTAATCGTTCGAACCGTTTGAATGATTTTGACTGTTTTCCAATTTATTTAATTTTTTTTTTATTTTTTTGTCAAAATGGGTCGGCTATTTGAGTCAAACGGACGGACCATTTGAACTAGTAACCAGACTCCTGACCGGTTCGGTCACCAATTTATTTTTAAAAACCATGAAATAAAGTAAAAACTCAAAACAAAATTAAACAAGAATTTACATTTATTTCATTTAATTTGCACTCCTATGCAATTGTACTGCAACCAAACACAGCATAAAAAACTTTCTAAATTAGCCTTATTTTTGTTAATTCAATTCTACATTTGGATTTGGGTCATGAAGCCCAATATAAAT